CTCTCTCTCTCTCTCTCTCTCTCTCTCTCTCTCTCTCTCTCTCTCTCTCTCTCTCTCTCTCTCTCTCTCTCTCTCACCATCTCCACACGTGCACCCCCTGCACGTGCGTCACAGAGCGGCAGATCGTAACGGTCAATGGCCTGGAGAGATCCAGGCTGTAGATCGGCAAGGTCAAGACAACAATTGGTATAGGTACCGTAATAATAATTACTATAATAATAACAAGTGGACCCCTCGCGGCTTCGCCTGTGGCAGAGAGAAGGGGGAGAGGTACAATCATGGCAGTGCATGTATCCATGAACAAAAGTGTCACGAAGGAAAGAGTTTACGAACGAAAATTCCACAAATCAAGCAGGAAGATGCACCAACCCAACCGCAATCGCATCAAACTCTCAAAAAACGGAACCAACGAACCATCCATCGTTGTTATTATGTTCCCTCCTTCCCCCTTCTCCGCCTCCATTCTCCATCTTACTATCTCCATCGTCATCTCACCTCCCCATCCGTCCTCCCCACCCTCCTTTCCTGGACCGCAATACTCGTCCCCTCATTCACTTCATTCCCCCCACCGTATGCTTCCACATTATCCTTCCTCCCTCCTTCCACGTCAAATCTCCCTTTCCTCCCTGCCTTTCCACGTCACCGTTATTTTCATCGTCMCCCCCCCCCCCCATGTCATTCTTTCGGTCCTTGCACATCATATTTCCCTACATCTTCATTCCTCCATCATCCGCCCTCCTCTCAGTCATCGATCTTCCTGATTGTTGCATCCATCTCCTCCTTTCCTAGTCATGAACCACATGCGTCCCTCATTCTCCACCTCCTCCCTCTATCACCAACGTCACCCCACCTCGTCCTATCTCCCTCCCTGCTGGCAGCGGTCTTCAGATATCATCGTCGAACTGACTGACCCCAGATAATTCGGGAATTTCATTCACCTAGCTCCACCTGGATTCAAACTTAGTTCCGGATTTGAAAAGTTCACGGGTCTACTAACTGAGCTGGGCGCAGTCATACTGTTGCCTGCCTTTTCGAAAATCGGCATCTGTTATTTCCATTCATTTTATTATTCAGGAGCATCGGTGAGAACTGAATCAGTTTGATGATGATATCGCAAGCCCGTCAACCTTTAAAAGAGGGGGAAAAAAAGAAAAATAAGCACAGCCCTTCCACCCTTCCACATCGTCCTTTCTCCCCCCTTCCACGTTATCCCCCCCTGTTCTAATCTTCCACGTGAAACCGCCCTTTCCTCCCTCCCCTTCCACGTAACCGTCACATTCGTCGGCATCCCACCTTCCCGACCATCCTTTCCGTCCTTGGCACATCATCCTTCCCTACTTGTTGCTGCAGCTCGTCTCTTCCCTCTTGCTCCATCTTCCTTGCTCTATCACGCTCCCTCCTACTCATCGATCTTCTTCTCCCTCTCGCTCCATCTTCCTTCCTTCATCGCTCTCCCTTCTTCCAATCATCAATCTTCCTGGTTGCTGCATGCATCTCTTCCCTTCCTACCCATCGATCACACGTGTCTCCTTCCCTCATCTGCTCCCTCTCACTCCATCTTCCTTCATCCATCACCCTCTCCTTCTGGTCATTGATCTTCTCCTCCCTCTCGCTCCATCTTTCTCCCTCCACCATCCTCCTGCCTTCTAATCATCGATCTTCCTGCTTGCTGCATCCATCTCATCCCTTCCTGCTCATCGATCACGTGTCTCGCTCTCGCTCATTGTCTACCTACTTCACCATCAACGTCATCCTACCTCCTCATATCATCGTCGAGCCCACTGGTCCCAGGTCATTCGGGAATTTCATTCACCTAGCTCCACCCGGTTTCAAACTTGGCTGGTCCCACTGAATCTCAATTGCCTGGTGTCCCCAAGCCCGTCAACATTTACAAAAGGGAAGGGGGAAAAAAAACTCGCCACAGCCCTCACGTGCTCCCGAAGCTGTCTTCCCGTGTCGCCGCTATTCTCACCCTCCTCTCCTCGTGACCCAGCTGTCCTCTCTCCTTAGTCTTGGTGACCCCTCCGCTCCTCCCCTGTCCACGATGGGTTTCCTCTCCCCTATAGCGCTGGTGGGCGATGACACTGTTCCCGGGCCTCCTTTCCTCTGCGCCGCTCCCTGGCTGCTCCTATCAACCACTGGTTTGCCCTGCTGCATTCCCGCTGTCCCTCCACTTCGAGCGCTGTCTGCTGCCTTCCCTCCTCCTCCGCCACCATCATCCTCTTCAACTTCGTCGTTGACTGTCCGTCCTCTTTGCCCGCGTACTCAGTCTCGCTTCTTCTCCTCCTCATTCTCGCCTTCCTCCCTTCGCCTCCTCGTCTCCTTCCTCCTTTTCCTTCTCCCCCTTTCCTTCATCATCCTCGTCTTCCTCCTCCTGTCCGTCTCGTCTTCCTCCTCCTCGTCGTCTCTTTTGTCATATTTCCTTTGCCTTCGTCTTCCTTCCTGCTCCTCGTTTCCACCTCCTGTCGGTGTCGTATTCATCGTCCTCGTCTCGTTCGTCGTCCTACCTTTCCCCTCCTCGTCTTCCTTCCTGCTGCTCGTCTTCCTCCTCCTGCCGGTCTCGTATTCCTCGTCCTCCTCGCCTCGTTTGTTACCGTTTATCGTCCTTCCTTTCCCCTCGTCTTTTTTCCTGCTCCTCGTCTTCTTCCTCCTGTCCGTCTCATATTCCTCATCCCTTTCTTCGTTTGTCGTCCTTCCTACTCATCTTCCTCTTCTCCCTCGTCCTTGCCCCCCTATTCAGTCTCGCTTGTCCTTTTCGTTGTCTTCTCTCTGTCCTCCTCTCCTTTCTGTTGTCTCCTTCCCCCCTTCTCCTCTACCCCCTCGTTTTCCCTTCTGTTGCCATTTCCCTGTCCTCCCTTTTGCTCTACCTCCTCGTCTCCGCTTCTCTTCCTCGTCTCCCTTCTTCCTCTCTTCCTCCTCGCGTCCCTCTTCAACCCAACCTCCCCAAAACGACGATTCGGCACGAGCGCAGCGCTCCCTTGGTCAACAATCACGCTGTCCCTTACCCGCGAAGAGTGCTTCACCGGACCAGAGATCTGGCAGGCGCTAAGAGCGCGGCACGGCCGACTCGGAACAAAAAAAAAGCCATACAGCACAAGAAAAAAGGCGCGGGCAATTCACTTTGTCCCTTTTCTTTTTCTAATGGACCGGGCCACGCTCCGCTGCAGTGCAACACGGAGGCAACGCTGGAGGGATCGAGCAGGCAAGCCTACCCCTATGACCCCTCCGTAGCCCCGAAAAATTAATTTAATACCATGTGGCCCGATGGACCACACCAGTACTTGGCCCAGTTATCAACTCCTAGGCTCGGCCGACCGGTATGCCGAACCTTGCCGAGTCTCGAACTACCAGGTGCTAACTTGTCAAACCTAGTCGGAGGAGAAAAACAGGGGGAAAAGAAGAGGGAAAAAAAAAAAAAATAGAAAATGCAAAAAGAAACAACAGAAAAAGGGGATGAGAAGTTCACGTGTATCATGGCTCTTCCGGTGTCAGCCTCCTGAACGGATCTGTCAAGGCTAGCTTCTCCGCAGTTTCCAACAACGCACTCCCATCCTGTCTTTCCGCGTATCTTGAGCCCGGGCGCAGGGCCTCGTCCAGCGACAGGTTCCAGTCACCCCCTATCACTATCTTCTCCACCTTTGGCGTGTTGCTGACCAGTTTCTTGAAAAATCTTGCTCTGTCCCCCACCTGTGTCGGTGCATATACCGTCATCAGCAGCCACTCGTCAGACCCCACTTCCAATCTCACCCAGGCCCATTTGCCCCAGATGTCCGCTTCTGTTTCTATCACTCTAGCCTGTAGATCTCTATGTAGCAGAATCCCAACACCCCCTCTTGTGCCCTGAGCCGGGGCCCACACTTGTGGGCCATCCCATCATGTCCCTAGGTCCTTTAATTTCTCTTCATTTAGTTTTGTCTCTTGAATCATCAGGCACTTGACACCCCGCTCGTGCATCCAGCTCTTTACCCTCCTCCTTTTCTCTCTTCCTCCTGTGTCCCCCAAACCCCTGACATTCCATGTTGCAATTTTGGCTCTATCCATCAGCTACGATGCCCTCCGCTTGCTGTTGGATGCGGGCTTTGGCGTGATGCAGTCTTCTGGCTTCCTCCAGCAGACTGGGGGCGGCTCAATTGGTGCTTCTAGAGCTGCCTCTTGAGCTGCCTCTTGATGAGCTGGCCCTTGACCCTTCACCCCATTCCTTGGTAAGACTGTTTACCATGAAGGTTGACATTAGACCCTCCTCCTCCTCAAGTTTCTCGCTGAGGTTCAACAGGATTGCCCCTGTCATGCCTGGGAAGATGCTGATACTTTCCAGCTTGTGCATGTTTCTCTCCCTGACTGTCGACATGTGGTACCAGCGTATTCCGGAGTGGGTCAGCAGTTCGGCTGTTTCCGGTGGGATTCGAGCATCAAGCAGTGGGAAGTAACATTTGAAGAAGCCGTCTTGTGTTTCACAAAAAACACTGACCATTGCAGATCTTGGGATGATCTGAATAGGAACATGGTTGCCATATAGGCTCCTTGTTTTTTCCATGATCAGTACTGGCGTCGGTGAGCAGTCTACCTCTTCTGATGGTAGACTCGGTTGTCCGTCTGCTCCTGCTACCGCCAGGAAATAGATCCCATCATTGGCCATTGTGCACAGCAGTGGGATCAGGCGACGTTTAGCCACCTCCACTTGGCTCCTATGTGTCGTGTCGGCTCTTCGGTCCCTCTCTGTTCGTCTTGTGCCTGTGTCCCTCTCTCCTGCCTGTTTTCTGGAGTATTGTGACGAACTAGCTTCTGTAATGCGCGACTTTCGGCGCGAAGTGCTAAGCGGGGTCCCACGTCGATCGAACGGGTTGATGGAAAATTGCATGTGTGTCCTTGCTTTCTTCGTTGTTTCTTCGCTCGCGCACGAGCCCCTGATGACAGTTGAGGACAATTCCCGAATTGTCATCATGGGCTCTTTTGAATTTTCGGTGTCGCGCATCAAGGGCTCGTGCGCGAGCGAAGAAACAACGAAGAAAGCAAGGACACACATGCAATTTTCCATCAAACCATCCAATCGACGTGGGACCCCGCTTAGCACTTCGCGCCGAAAGTCGCGCATTACAGAAGCTAGTTCGTCACAGTACTCCAGAAAACAGGCAGGAGAGAGATGTCTGCGCGCATCCCGCTCGATGTCTTTTTTCTGCCAGAAAGAAATTCAAAAAGAGACACCGAATAATGATCGTCTGACAAGCGTGACCTGACGTATCGTATGCACGCATGTAAGCACGATCCGAACGGAGTGCGGCTTACACGCGTCCGAACCACCCGGACCCATAATTTGTGTCTTANCCTGACGTATCGTATGCACGCATGTAAGCACGATCCGAACGGAGTGCGGCTTACACGCGTCCGAACCACCCGGACCCATAATTTGTGTCTTATCTGTCGCACGAGGTTAGCCCTTCGCCAGGCCGGGAGTTGATATCCACAGGATCGGGTTAACCATCGCCCGCAAGAGGGCGTCAGTGCGACTCATTCGCGTCTGTCTTACGCACTTGCAGACGATGATTTCCTCAAATAGCTTGTCCCCTAGGGTGTGTAGGATGAAAGAATGACGAGCTCGCGAAGCTCCAACGTATCTTAGAATTCCGAGGATTTCGACGCGTATTTTGGATATCAGGAACTCAGGGAAGAAGAACAACGTCGGTTACGAGGAAATATGAACAACCCGAAGTTCCCTTGTCTTGCGGGGCGCGATAGGGTATGCGCCAGGGAATTCCATCTCGCCGTAAGAAGCGATCCCCGGGGACCAGATTACCCAAACACTTATAATACGCAATATTTTATATCCTCCGGTTTCGTCATTGTCGTTCTTAATTTCCCGCCTTATCATCTTCTTCTCCCCTATCAATAGCTCACAGTGGTACCGTGGAATTCCATAGCCCCCTACTGGCCACGAACTCCGTGTAGGAATTGCAGCCGGCACGATAATTTCCGAAATCCCAGAGCCGCGAAGCTGAGACATACCCCGCACCGGCAGGCGACACGTGGCGGAACCCGAAGGCCCAGGCCCCTAGGACCACTCCGCCCGGCTTCCCCGAAACCGACGATCGCGTCAGGATCGGGCGGCCTCGCACCACCAACGTGCCAGCCCGCGCCTGTAAATTTTCCTATTGCTCTATTGCATCTATGCCCCTTAACCTTGCCACATAAGATCTCAGTTCTGACCTGGGACTCCACCCCCACTTTCCAAAAATCCTTGGCACACCCCTTTCCGTACTTCCAGGCCCACACCCTACTCCGATCAGGAAGCCGCGCCGGACGTGAGGTTGGTATCGGAGCCCGATACGTGGCTAAGCGATAAGGGTCTGTAAACTCAATACTGGCTAAGGCGAGGCGATCTGGCTCCACGTAGACGCCCTCCAACTGGTAATACACGTCGACGTAGTCTTGTAGCTACACGAAGCCGAACCTCCGCCACAAGGAGAGCAGACGCCATGGCCGCGGCCGCTGCTGCAGCAGCCGCTACGGCGGCCATCCCCAATCAACCACCTAACCCGCCTGCACGAACCCCTGCGGCTCCACTAGATTTTTATTTATTTGACCCAGCACATCATCTCGCCAGAGCATGGTTGGCCACGCTCCGAGCTCAGCGGTATACGAATGATGAAGCTCAGATTAACATCCCCGCGCGGATGGGGGGAGACGCTCATCATTGATATAGCACTTATGTATGGGTGGATCTTCCCACATTCGAGCGGGATTTCATGAACCACTTCAATTATGTTCACCCTGAACAAGCACTCTATATGATCAAGGATCGAGTCCAAAAACCACTCGAATCCATTAACGAGTATCGGAACAGATTTCATCGAATGTTTGTAAAGACTGAGCGAGGCGAGCAGGTAGGTCGGGACCTGTTCATTGATGGACTACGTAACAGAACGATTCGGGGGAAGCTACGTAAAAGCTTCTCTCCCATTAATCACACGCTGCAACAAATTATGGACGCTGCCGAAGAGATGGAGCAGAAATTCGCAGCTAGCTTCTTTAAAAATGAGGATTACGGTAGAGAAGGAGACTCGTCCGAGCTTGTGAAAGCAAGGGCGGAACTGGCCGCACTACAAAACAAATTTGAAAACATGGGATTCGTAGCCGGACCCATTACGTATGTAGAGCAGGTAACACCGAGGACCGCACCCCATGGAGTGACTGTGGACAGGCAGATCCGGTAATGACGTCCCAACCGTAACTCGGCCACCTCCACCGCCACCCACCATCGAGTCACCCGCAAAAACGAATGAGTCTACTGCTATCTTGGAGCTAACTAAAACGTTGGTTAGTCTAATCCAAGAAAGCAAGAAGGAACAGAAAGAACACAACGCCCGATTAGAAGCTATGATGCGGAATATGCGACCCATTGCAGTGCGAGCACCAATGCAGGGAGGCATGGCCGCTGCACAAGTTGCAGCAGGGCCAGCCGGGACAGCGGCAAATGCCTGTTTTACATGTCATCAACCGGGACACTTGGCCCGAGATTGCCCCCATCATGCCATGCAACCTCGAGCCGGGATCGCGCCTGCAGCGGCAACTCCCATAGCTAACGGTCCATGACATGTAGGAGTCGTGATGGATGATCAGGGGGGAAGTACGAGAATGATGATTTCCAGTGAGGAAGCAGCTGAGCTTATCCCGTTAGAGCAGTACGTATCACTAGGATATCCGGGGCTGGGAATGATTGGGACAATTCGACCGGAACTCGAGTCCAGAGATGTCGCCGAGTGGCGACCCTCGTCGAGCGAAATGGAGACGGGAGGCCCTACCTTTGTTACAGGAGAAATCGATGTCCTTGAGGTTACCCAAGCACTGGATCATCGAATCCCTCTCCCAATCGGCCACCTACTCTCCATCTCGGAACAGGCGAACGAACGTATGATGCAGCATTGCAAAGCGAACCGGAAGCGATTCGCCCTTGCACGCGCAAAAGATCAGAAGGCGAAAGCGCCGCCTTCGGAGGAAAAGGCGGACGTCGCCCCTGATCCTATCCGAGTCGGATTAATACAGAAAGATAACCACTTTCTTCGGATCAAGCCGATTCCGTGGAAGTCAGCCGAATGTGATATTGAAGTCTGGGGAATGCCGTATAGTGCGATCATAGATTCAGGAGCGGCTGTCCTAGCAATATCACTCCGAGTAGTCGAGAGAGCGGGTAGGAAGAATGATTTGATTATGCTAACCGAGAAGGACCAGCTCGTATCGGCTGACGAGGAGAAGATCAAGACAGTAGGACGTATGACGAACGTCGCATTCCGATTGGGAAAAGTGCATGCTTTAGGAGATGTCGTGGTGCTGGATGTGAATACATATGACGTTCTGTTCGGGCTTCCTGCATTAGTGGCACTACGCGCTAATTTGGACTTCGAACGCCGATCCGTCGTTCTCCGGAATACCGGGGGAAAGCCGTATGTAATAACTCTTCGAACGTCGGTTAAGGTAGTACCCCAAATTTCTCCGGAAACAACGGGAGCGCTCCGCATGGTCTCCTGGAATGCACGTGTGGACAGAGGCCAATCATTAAACGACGCGTGGAGCGACGACGATGACGACCCAGTCGTTACACAGTTATTACAGCAGCAGATTCACTACCCACCGCCTCGCACTATTGCGCGTACCATGCATCTAACCACACGGCGTGCTCATATGATGACCATGGGAGAAACCCTCGTACAAATTTCGAGGCTGGTTGATTCCTTGGAACCCCCTCGGACCCTGTACGAAGGCGTATCTCCCCTTCTCCTTCGATATAGTGACAAGCGTTCCTTTTGTGATCTCACTAGCTTACCTCGATCCCTGCTTCAGCCCGCAAAGAAAGTTCAGTTGTTACGTTTGGGAGCCGAAGCAGGTTCTTTGGAACCCCCTCGGCACATTGAGGCAAGATCCGATGCATTCGGGATCAAAATCTCGCCCAAAAACGTGCCCTGGCGAGACATCTGCGACGGGATAACCCCCGAAGGTCATATAACGATCAGGGAGGAGGAAGCACAGATGGTGGCCACTGTGTTTTCTTGGAGATCGGATCACTCTTTTATATTTGCACCGCCTGACACTACTCGGCGTATACACACGAAGCAGGTTAACGTTTGGATTTTGGATCAAATGTATAAATTGCATGTGCCCCAGTTCGGATTTTGGATCAAATGTATAAATTGCACCGCCTGACACTACTCGGCAGTTTATTCTCATCACCGACTGGCAGCCGGAGGCTATTTCGACCATCCTGGTGCAGAAGGGAAACGATGGGAAGGAGCATGTCATTGAGTACGCTTCTCGGACGGTGCCAGACGAGCGACGAAACGATTCCGCGCCACAAGGAGAATGCTATGCGGTAGTGTGGGGTATTTGTACGGTCAGAAGTTTCTGCTCGTCACCGACCATGAACCTCTGTTGGCTCTGAAAAAGCTAACCAACTATATGGGCATGATCGGACGGTGGGCGGTGCGGTTGCAAGAATATCAGTTCGACATTGTTCATCGAAAAACGGAAAGACACGGCAACGTTGACGGACTGACACGTTTGCACCGACCCGGTAAAGTACCAAAAGCGGAAGAGATCACACCGTGGAAGGACCCGGACATCAACGACGGTCCAAAGTACGGAGAAGTTGCGGTTATTCCACGTGGCAAGAAGCCGGTGAAGGGCAATGGGTGACGGAGGTAATGTCCCGATTCCCTCTCTTTCTTCCCCATTCTCTTCTTTCGCCTCCCTTCCTGACAAATTTTGCTATTTCTGCAAGTCTATTTCTCGAGTCTATTCCGTCCACATGTGTCCAAAAGGGACGGGATATGTTGAATGGGTAGATTGTCGGAAATGTGTCGCACGTGCTCACGGTGCGTGCATACAGTATCGGAGTAGTGATAGACCCTGGTTCTGTCCCTTATGTCGCACTGACAAGATATTGACAGAAGCCCGATTCCTCGATGCCACGTCGGAAGGCCCCGACAAAATCCAGAAGTTTAGAAGGGCGGAAGTCTGGACAGATGCCACCTTGATAGCCATGGTGGTAGGCAACTCCCTCGAAACCTTTTCCAACGAGGATCGGAGGAGGGCCAATGAAAGAGCACGGGATTACCGATGGGTGGATGGACGGTTAGAGAAGCGTAAAACGGACGACAGTGGAGCATGGTTAGTAGTTCCGCACCCGTTCATGCGGTACGACTGGGTACGAACTGCCCATGAGGAAATGGCAGCGCATTTTGCCGTGCGTATTACCGAAGCTGCGATTGACAGAAATCAATGGTACTGGTCCAATATCCGAGACGACGTTAAATTCATCGTCCAACACTGCCAGGTCTGCGCTGCTGACAAGGCCCCAACCCAACCGCCTAGGTCGATAGTCCCAACTGTGGTTGAAAGGCCGTTTCAGAGGGTTAGTATAGATACTACTGATATAGTGGTGCCCCCTGGGCCGAATAGTTGCGACTGTTCAATTCTGCTGGTTTTCGTCGACCACTTTTCTAAGTGGATCGAGGCCTACCCCTGCAAGACGCGACAAGCCGCGGAAATCGCGCGGTACGTCAACCGTTTTCTGGGCATGCACCAGGACATAGAGGAGATCCTGACCGACAATGGGGTCGAATTTAGAGGAGAAGTCGAGAGGAACCTGGTCATACACGGCGTCTCCATACGGCACACGGCCCCACACATGTCCCAGTCTAACGGATTAGTGGAAAACGCGAATAGGGTGATAAAAACGGCCTTGCGGTGGAATATTGCGGCACGAGACCCCCGACCCTGGCCTGATATTGTTGACCACATCTTGGCGGTCCATCGCGGAACGCCCCACGAATCGACGGGCCTGAGCCCCTTCCAGCTGCGGACCAATAGTGTCGCGTGTGTATCGATACCGAGCCTCCCAGACGAATCAGGACTCAACCGACGCCCCACAAGGGCCACCGCTCGGGACAAAGCCAAAAGGCACTTGGAACTCATGGAGCGGTCCCTACCTAGACTGGCCCACAAGCGCCAACGGTCCACCGAATTGGCCCACGGCTGACAGGTCCGGAGTTACGAGGCCCGGAACGGGAATGCGGATCCCAGGACCCAGTATAAGTTAGGGGACATCGTGCAGGTAAGGAAATGTGCACGCCAGGGTAAACTAGCGCCACGATTCTTCGGACAGTATTGGGTGATTGAACTCGGACCCAACAGCGTGGACACCATGCGCCTCGCTCCCGAGATTTTCGGCAGTCGATCGGCTCGCCCGATCACACGCCACGAGTCCTATCTCTGTCTTCTTCCCTCTGTTCCGTCTCCTTCTCCATCAACCTCTCCCGACGACGACTCTATCTCCTCTGCATCTCCTTCTCCTTCTCAATCTCTGTCGGATCCATCGTCACCCTCGCCATCGCCATGAGCTTTATGGAGGAGAGAGCTCTAAGTGAAGAAGCGCTGGTAGCACGAGGGAATTTGACATTGCGGCAGGTGCATCATCCTCGTCTTAGTCCGGACCTTCAGCGGGTTGCGCAATTCTTCTACTCGAAGGGCGTCTACGCGGCAGCAGAGATCCATGTCGACGGGAGGGCTGACATGATCATATTGGCCGAAGCTGTCGGGTTGCGGCAGCGAACATTTGTGGACATCGACCGGATAACGGTGGTGGTTAATTTCAGTGGGGATCTCACGGCGATCCCCCCCATCCGACACACGAGAATCAATTACCCCCTCTCATCCCCTTCCATCCCCGATGAGTTCCTTCCCGATCTCTATTTTCGAGCTTCCTTCTTCCTTCCCCACCTTTTGGCAGTCCGATCTTCATCCCCACCTCTCCTTCTGTATAGATCCTCTGGTTGTTCCCCTCATCGATCCCTCTCAGTGGGACGCGTGGCGCGGAGACTATATCGAACTCTCACCGTGTTTGGCGGAAGTACGGGTGACGTGGACGAGGGACGAGAGCAATTATCCGCGGTCTGAGCGATTGGAGATCCTTTGGATTCAGGCGTGGCGGACGGAAGTAGAAGGGGACCTTCTCGGTTTTCTATTCGGGGCAGTGCGTCCAGGCTGTCTGAGGCTTCTCACCCAGGAGCTTACGGTCCCAATTGCGCAGCTGGCCGACCATCTTGACGTCAGCATTGTCTCCCAGGTCGACCCGCGCTTGGTGCCCCACGTCACCTCGCGCACGCTGTCACTGTATCTTCAGTGGTCAGCTTGCGTGGAAGGCTTCCCATCGAGAATTCCGCCTTCACGGTTGGATTATTTGGATCCGCGCGACATCGTGGATCCCGCTTTCTATAGACCGCCGTACGAGGACGAAGTGGAGGAGATAATCCGCGAGGAGCTCGCGGAAGAAAGTTCGGAGGAAGAGGAGGAGAATCTGAACGAAGACGAAGGGGAGCCGGCACAACAACAAGAAGGAGACGAAGACGAGCTCCTGCAAACGGAGAGCGAAGAAGAAGCAGAAGAAGAAGACAGCGAGCAGGGGAGCGGTGATGACAACGACGAGGAGCAGGCCAACGAGGATTCCCAGCTAGAAATTGCGTCGGTTGCTGATCTTCCGATCAGCAACGATCCAACGCTCGACCCGGAGCCACCTCAACCAGACGACGGCCATGTGGCCCAGGTGGCTAGGCCGTCCGCTCGCCGGCCTCCTTCCCCACCGCGACGTCGACGACGAAGCCGCTCCCTCTCCGCCTCCCTCTCCCTCGCAGCCCATCCCCCACTTCGAGCACGTCGAGATGAGGCTGATCGGTCTTCGTCCTCGGGCTCTCTCTCTCCGCCCCCATGACTTCCTCACCCTGCGCCAGCTCACCCGTCCCGCCGTCTTCCCCCACAACCCCTTCCCCCGCGACACTTTCCGTCATTATTTCTCCATCCGTCTCTCTGTCACAGTCCATCCCCACTCATCCTCCCGGCGTGCTTCCCCCGAGTTCCCTCTCCATGTGCTTCTCTTCAGCATTGGATGGCGTCGTATTAACGCCGTAGAGGTTTATTGCCTCATCACGGGGTTAATCCCCGCATGCGCCGATCGCGATCGCTTTCGCGCGGCGCTTCTTAAAACCTTCACCACTCTTTATCCCGACTACCTCGCTTCTCTCCCCACTACTGGTCGCCGATTCCCCCGCTTCCATAGAATCGTCCATCATCGGAGCCTTCCGGAGACGGACGACGAGCTGGAACGCTTCTTCCCGCCTATCCCGACTCATCCCCCATCAACACCTCCGCCTGCCTATCGTCTTCCTTTCCCTCTTCCCCACAAATGACGGCAACCAGGATACGACGGCCTCGCAACATGACTTCCACACTCGTTCGCACGGTATGCGGCAGAAAAGGAGATCCACCATCCACGGCCAATCAATCAAAGATGAGCGACACGTCAGCTAGCAAGCAGGAGCTTGCTTATCTTTGGAACCCCCTGGGCGTCACATATGTGACGAACTAGCTTCTGTAATGCGCGACTTTCGGCGCGAAGTGCTAAGCGGGGTCCCACGTCGATTGGACGGGTTGATGGAAAATTGCATGTGTGTCCTTGCTTTCTTCGTTGTTTCTTCGCTCGAGCACGAGCCCCTGGTGACAGTTGAGGACAATTCGGGAATACCAGGGGAAAAGGGGGCAAAACTTGGTCGGATGCGGAGTGCGCGCCGAGTGCACGATTAATAAACGTTGACGTCTCTTCTTTTCTTTCGTTTCCCTTCTTTTAATTTTGTTTTGTCGGACTTTTGGGCGCGCAGACATCGCGCGGGAATTTCAGTGTCTCTTTTTGAATTTGTTTCTTGAATTTCCTTTTCGAATCTGGGTCGGAGCCATACGGCCTTCGGAATTTTGATTTTCTTTTCGGACTTTTTCGGCAGGCTAGCTAGGAATTTAGGAATTTTGGAATTTCTGCTTTTCTGGGGCGCTGCTCTGCATGCTCGCGCGCTCTTTCCTGCTGCTGCGCCGGAACCTTGACTGATTGGCGCCTTAATCCTTTTGCAACTGTATTTTTTGGCGCACACTTTTGTAACTGTATCTTTCTGTTTCTTGCTTCTTCTTCTTCCTGCCTCGTTTCTTCCTTCACCCCCCCCCCTGCCTACATTGAGTAGCCGCGGTTGCATGTTCGGATCGATGCGTGAAGTGGGTACGTCCCCCACGCTGCGGCCCGACCATGCAAACGCAGGCACTCCCTTTCCCCCATCTATCCACGTCCTTGTAATTCCGTGTTCTTCGCGCATGCTTGCACGCTATAAATTCCGGCTGCGCGATTAACTTGCTCTCTTAACTATTGCTGGAAGCTCGGGGTTGCGCGACGACGGACTGTCGGCACACGAGTGAAGTAAGAGGTGAGTGAAGTGGGAGTCGGGCGACCCAACGAGCTGGTGCTGAATGCGCGGGGTTGACGCGGGCCACGACGGACTGTGGGCGCGGAGCGAACCTGACGGGCGTAGTAGGACTAAGCGGGGTGACGACTTCGTGGGTTGGTGCGCGACGACGGACTGTCGGCATCGGAAAGTGAGAGAGAAAGAGAGTTGAGGTTGAGTTGGGCATGGATTTGCATCTTTCTTTTTCGTTCCTTTTTCATCTGTGTATATAAATTTTGGTGTCGATTACGGGCGACTCGCCCTTGTCTTGTGAGGTCCTCTTCGTCTTTTGTTTCGACTTGGTTTTCCCTCAATGTTTTCCGTTTTGATTTCTTTCTTGGACTTTCTTTTCGCGAAATGATGTATGGATAACCCGCGCACATCTTGCACTTCGTTTTTGATTGACGTCCCGGACTTATGAAATCGGATGGGAATGGAGATGGCATGTTGGCAAGATCGATTGGATGTCTGTCGTCTCATAATGATCGTCTGACAAGCATGACCTGACGTATCGTATGCACGCATGTAAGCACGATCCGAACGGAGTGCGGCTTACACGCGTCCGAACCACCCGGACCCATAATTTGTGTCTTATCTATCACACGAGGTTAGCCCTTCGCCAGGCCAGGAGTTGATATCCACAGGATCGGGTTAACCATCGCCCGCAAGTGCGCGTCAGTGCGACTCATTCGCGTCTGTCTTACGCACTTGCGGACGGTGATTTCCTCAAACAGCTTGTCCCCTAGGGTGTGTAGGATGAAAGAATGACGAGCTCGCGAAGCTCTGACATATCTTGGAATTCTGAGGATTTTGACGCGTATTTTGGATATCGGGAACTCTGGGAAGAAGAACAACGCCGGTTACGAGGAAATATGAACAACCCGAAATTCCCTTGTCTTGCGGAACGCGATAGGGTATGCGCCAGGGAATTCCATCTCGCCGTAAGAAGCGATCCCCAGGGACCATATTACCCAAACACTTATAACACGCAATATTTTATATCCCCCGGTTTCGTCATTGTCGCTCTTAATTTCCCGCTTTATCATCTTCTTCTTCCCTATCATCAGCTCACAGTGGTACCGTGGAATTCCATAGCCCCCTACTGGCCGCGAACTCCGTGTAGGAATTGCAGCCCACACGATAATTTCTGAAATCCCAGAGCCGCGGAGCCGAGACATACCCCGCACCGGCAGGCGACACGTGGCGGAACCCGAAGGCCCAGGCCCCCAGGACCACTCCGCCCGGCTTCCCCGAACCGACGATCACGTCAGGATCGGACGGCTTCGCACCACCAACGTGCCAGCCTGCGCCCGTAAATTTTTCCATTGCTCTATTGCATCTATGCCCCTTAACCTTGCCACAGGAGATCTCAGTTCTGACCTGGGACTCCACCTCCACTTTCCAAAAATCCTTGGCACACCCCTTTCCGCACTTCCAGGCCCACACCCTACTCCGATCAGGAAGTCGCGCCGGGCATGAGGTTGGGCGTCACAGTATGCTGAGCTGTCCACTGATCTTTCCATATTTGCTACTGACCCTGATCGTTCCCCCCTTTTTTCTGTGCTATCTTCCCCCAGCCATTCACTTCCCATCCTTATTCTCGATTGAGAAGATGTCGGGGATTTTAACATGAACTGTAGGAACTCTCCTCCTCGCATCTCCCCTGGAGTGATTCTCAACTGTCATGACCGCCGCTGTGTTTCTTCATCCTCTTGCGGCCTGTCTCCCCATCTTCCTGTTCCTTGCCGAGGGTCCTCGGTTCCCCTAGTACCTCCCTCTCTCTTTGTTCTGCCCCTTACCTCTCTCCAGCTTCTTCCTCCTGATTCCCGTGTTTCCTCTTCCCCCCATCTTCTCCACGGCCCCACTCTTCTTCTCATTCCCATGCCATTGCTCCCCTGTCTTTCCCTGCCAAGTGTCCACTGATTCATAGTATGTATTCCTGCTCCCCAGTCTAGGCCATAAAGGGACATATCCCTCCACTCTATTGGGCCGGCTGGGTAATGTGCTTGTGGGCAGCTAGGATGCCATGGGCCTTGGGGGGGCGGATGACCTTGCTGATTTTGCTGATATTCCATACGGTCCATGTGGCGGTAGTCTTCATGTGTCTGGTGGTCCCACCTTGTTTGGGGACCTGGTCCTCCTCCTCTCGCTACCGGACTTGAGTGTATACCCGAACCTCCCGCTCTCGGGTCCTGCGACTACACCCTCCAACTTTCTTGGCTTCTCCATTGGTTAGCCGGGTCCTGTAGGGGCTGGTCTTCCAGAATGATCGGTTGACGAGCTTCCCACATTCGACTTCGCCAAGGGGGCATTTCCTGTCTCATTCCTGGTCTTTCCCTTCTCCCCTCGCTGTTCAATAAGTTTGCTCTGCCACCTTCTCTTTCTTGTGTGGGCGTGTGCCCGCTCTGAGTCCGGGGTCTTCCGGGGACCTCTTGCTGCACCTCACTCCTCCCTCTTCCTGTTGGCTCTGTTGCTCTCGGTTGGTTGAGTACAAATTGTAAAAACCTTTCCTTGTGTCCCCCTTGTCTCGGAGCCCCCTCCCTTCTTCTCCCTTCTTCCTGTCGAGCCCGAGGACAGTTGTCCTCTGTGTGAAAATACCAAAGACACTTGCGGCAGTAACCCGTGTATGGAGTCGCAATGTCGACATTCCAACGTTCTCCTGCAGGTCCTTCGATCCACAACTCGTCATCCACTTCATACCTTGCGCTGGGGTCCATATCCATTTACACATTCATGAGTTTTGGACGGGACCTATCGTACTCCGGCGGGTGCACTTGGAGGACTTCACCAAACATACTCCTTATTGCAGATCTGAGGTAGTAGTATGCGTCAAGAGGCACCCTCAGCGCAATGATCCAGAAGTTTACTGTCGCTTCTCGGAGGCGTACTTCCTTCAGTTCGTTGCGAGTCATCCACGGCTTGCAGATTGTGGTATATTTTTCATCCGACAATCTTAGCCTGATTTCCCCCTGATTGATCAACCATTGGGCGACTTCTTTGGCGTTAGCCACATAAGAAACCACGTTTGCTCCTTCAAAACTGATCCTCCCCCTCCACACTTCCGGATTGAAACGTCGTTGGGTCATCCAGCCATCCTCATAAGCCCTGATTAAATCTTCTTTCACCGCCCTGGACAACTTTTTTGCCTCATCTTGATAAATTAGGATTACTGTTTGTTCCTTTAACCGCTGTTTTTTTATCTTATCCACTACCCCGTTTACCACATATCTCTTCCCTTGCTCATCCTCCACTACTTCTCCTAGGTCTACATCGTCCGGGCATATCCCTTCATCGTAGCATCTTTCCACAGAGTCCCGTACTCTGTCCTCCTCTCCTCTCGGATCTGCCGGTATTGGTGGACGTTGACGACCCTGGCTACCTTGAGCTTGTCTAGCGTCCATCTTGATCAATATACATAAAAATTAGACGCTCCAAAATGAGCCAGAGAGTTTGGGCGAAAAGAACAAATCTCCCAGTCCTGGTATTCGCACTGTGGATATCCACCGATAATAATGCTTTAATCCTAACCTCTCTCTCTCTCTCTCTCCCTCTCTCTCTCTCTCTCTCTCTCTCTCTCTCTCTCTCTCTCTCTATCTATCT